CTCCTCACTCAGAAAGAAAGAAAGTTTTTAACCTCTCCTCTCTTTCCTCGTTGTTACCTAGGCCAGAGCAAGAGCTCTTCCCCTTGGGAGTGCTGGGAAATGAGAGTGCGCCCCCAGCAGGCAGACTGAGAGAGTGTATGGCACAGCTTAACAGAAGGATTATTTCAGCTGTGATCTATGGGGCAGAATGGAGAAGCCGCAATTTGAGGCAGACCATCTGGGAGTCTTGCATGATACCCCAATTAAATGCGGATAGAGCATGTAAAAAAGTAATCTGGAAGCTGGCAACATGCTGGGTCCGGGAAGACACACGAGGATGCATCTGGAAAACCTCAAAACCCAGTCTCAGGGCAGGTGTTCATAGGCAGGTGGGATCAGAAGCTTGACCCTAAAGATTGCAATATAGGGGCAACTTATAGGTTATGAAGTTGATGTTCAGGTAAACAGCACAACCAAGGGGGTCCCAGAAATAGAATTGGGACAAAGGAGCAGAGTAAAACTCCTTACAAGAGCCAGATGGGTCATCAGGAGAGGGTTGGAACAGCAAACGGTTTGTGTAGAATCTCCTGACAGGAAGACAAAACCTTCATGATTTGGAGATGGTTGTTCTAAAACTTGAGGTGAAGCTGCAATCACAGGAAAGGAGCAAGAAGGATTGGGGGACCCAAGGCTTGAAGAGAGCTTTATCTGGAAGGGAAAATCAGGTTTCAAAGCAAGGCTGAGGGAAAGTATTGGCAGATGGGTCAAGAGAGCTGAATCTGAGTCATTGGGGTGCTGGTGGGGAGTGAGCAAAAGTGTGTCAGATCAGGCAGAAAATCAAGACCAGATGTCAGGTGGCAGGTCAAGAAAGAGTAACATACAGTATGTGGATAGATCTGGGCAGGCTGGGACAATGCGGGTTCCGCTCCACGTGCTTGGCTAGCTGAGTGGTTTGCAGCTGTAGCTGTAGGTGCTTTATTCTCACCCAGCCTCATAAAGAACATTACTGTAAACAGCTTGGGTCCTAGGTTTTGGAACAGAAAGAACCCCCAGCTCTTAGGAATAACTGTGATGTCACCATAACACATGGTATTTCAGCACGTGGACCAGGTACATTGTTGAGGAAAATCACAGAGAGGTATTGTTAGTATTAATTTTCCTGATTGTTACTGTTTCAGCTATTGTCAAACCAATTTTCTATTCCTCTTGGAAGAGCAGAAGTTTGCAATATTAAGATTTTTCCACTTCATAGTTTGGGTTTATTATTTATCTCATAAAGTAATCAATAGAAATTATTAATTATTACGTTGTATATTGTTTTAACTCTTTGCATAAATTATCTAATTTTTCTCATAATGACTATATGAGGTAGGTAAGGATTATCCATATTTTAGGTGAGAGAAGTAAGCCTGAGATAGGTTAAGTAATTTGCTCACAGTAATGATGCAAACAGTAGCAGAAGCAAGAATTGCAGTACTCTGTGCTCTTAGCTACATGTTATGAACATTTAGTTATTTCTCTCCGAATATTTAGGAACCATCTTCTATGTGTTGGCTACTGATATGGATACAAGAGTGAAAAAGAATAAAAACACATACAGTTTTTGTCCTCATGGAGTTTATAATCTGAGGGGCTGGAGACTGGGAAGACACCAGCAACCAGCAACCATTTACTCAAGTGGGTATTTAATCACACTTCTAAAGGGAATTCCGAGAGAGAGGGTCAGGCAGACCTTATCTAGTATGGGGGTCAGAGAAAACTGCCCTAAGGAACCGACATCAGACTTGAGATCTAAGGGATTAGTAGATGGATGGGGAGGAGAGAGAAGAGGTGTTAGTGCCAAGGCAAAAAGGAGCTTGGGGCACTGAAGCACCTGAACCAAGGCCAATGTGACCAAAGCTCAGAGAGCAAAGGTGAGGATGTTATGGAGTGTGGCTTGCACACAGTGGAGTGGAGAATGCACTTTAAATTTTACAAAGCACATTACTATAACTTATTTATTTCATAATAGAAGTTTATAAAAGTTAGAAAAATAATCTTTGCATGGTGGGGAAGAAGTTACCTTTCTTTTTCATTAAATTCAATTAATTTCAAGACCAAAAGAATTTACTGCACTACGAAAACATTAAAAATTGCATTAGCTTCTGCATCTTCATGGGATGAAATGGCTATCGGCTGATCAGAGTTCCCACCAAGAACAATCTAAAGAGCCAAATAAAATAAAATACAGAAGTTATTTTCTTGAAGACAGTGGAGCATGGCTGAGGCAGTGAGTACAGAGGCCATGATCCCAGAGGAAAGAAGAGCTCACATAGGTGAGCTCAATTAAGCAACTTCTTTCATCACAGTAGCATTATCCAATTCAAAGCCAAGAATTCAAGTTCTTCACCAACACATGATGACATTTTGATGAATTCTGGGGCCTTTTAGGGTGGGGGACTAAAATCCTAAGCCTGAAACCTTCTGAAAAACATAGCAGAGATGTTAGCAGTTTTGAAGACAAAGATTTGAGGTCAGTCCAGATCCAACATAAAAAGGGATTAAAGGTAATACTTTTGGCGTGGTTGAAAATATAAGAAGGCTAAGGAGACCCAGAAGTACATTAAGCTTTACTAGAACTGCAAATAAACTTTGACTCAAAATAATCTAAGTAGAGTGGAGGAAAGGATGACCCCTCTCTGGAAGAAAGGAACATCATCTGGAAACTCTAATTGTTTTAAACAAATTATCCAGAACTTAAATTACCAGTAACAATGTCTAGTACTAGTAATAGTTAATTACTAGACATGCCAAATGATAAGATCGCATAATGGAAAACCAAGAGAAAACAACAGATAATAGAAATGCATCCACAAATGCTCCTAACAAGGCTTTTAAAATAATTACAATGAAAATATTTAAGAAATCAGAGGAAAAGATGAAGAAAATGAAACGGATTATGAGAAAATTTCACAAAGTAGAATGTATAAAAAATTACACATTCTAGAACTAAAAATATTTTATATCTGATATTATGAACCCTAGTTGGTTAAACTGCAGAGTAGACATAACCAAAGATAGGATTACTGAGGAAGAATATATCCAAATGGAAACAAAAATGGAAAAATGTATATAGAATTCAGAAAAAAGTAGACAAAATGTCAAACAGTGAAAATGTCCAGCACAAATATAATAGAAGTGTAAGAATAGAGAAGAGACTGGGGAGAAACAATCTTTGTAGGAGTAACACCAATAATTTCCCCAAAGTGACTAAAGATATTAACTTATAAATTTTAGAAACAATGAGAATTCCCAAGCAATAAAAACAGAGAAAACAACACCCCCCCCCAGGCACAAACACACACAAAAATCATTTTTAAAACGCTGAAGGAAAAGAGACACACAACCGTAATAGAAGCCATAGCAATATTGGCAACTGAAGTCTCAATAATGAAAACCAGAAGACAATGTGATAACATCTTTAAAGTACTGAAAGAAAATGCCAACCTCAGCTTTTATGCGTTGCAATTATATCCTAAAAATGAAGATAAAATAACAACATTTTCAGACACACACACAAAAAAACTAGGAAAATTCAACCCTAAGAGACTTGTACTAAAACATATTTTAAATGGAGTTCTTTAGCAGAAGAAAAGTTATCCCTGATGAAACAGATATGCAAGAAGAAATAAAGAGAAATGGATAAGAAAACTAAGTGGATAAAAATTAATGACCATGGGTTGAATGTCAGCTGTACAATACAATAATATTTATATTATTGTGTGGGGTTTAAAATATATGTAGAATTAAAATGCATGAAAACTATAAAATAGAAGGAGAGAGGGGGTAAATGGAATTAAAGTGCTCTGGATTTGTAGCATTTTAAGGGAAGAGGCAAAAGTAATTTTTTATTTACAAAAGCACATTTTAAATGTAAGAATCATAAAGGTTGCAAGTAAAAGGATGGAAAAAGTTATAAAGTACAAACACTAGACAAAAAAAGTTCAGGTGTATTAGAAAAAGTAGATCTTAAGGAAGAATCATTATTAGAAATAATGAGGACATTTCATAATAAATATATCACTTTTATTGTGAGTCTTACATTTAATATGTGTCTTTTGCAAAGACCATGTAGCTGGATCCTGTTAAGTCAGTCTTACAAACTTTGTCTTTTAATTGGGCTGTTTACTCTATTTACATTTAATGTAATTTCTGATTGAAATTGTGTTTAATATATCATCTTAATATTTGAAATCCAGAATTCTGCTACAGCTGTCCCAGAGGAATTGGACAAGTCCCCTACTGTCTTGCCAAATGATCTAATCTCTCCGCACATTGGCCTTGCTCACTTGGCTGTCACTTGCCTCCAAGTTTTGCAATAGTGCAAGAGACTAGCAGAAACTAAGTGACTTACAAACACTGTCACTGCAAATGTGTGTAGAGAAAGGCAAGACAGGAAGGGTTAGAATGGATATGGAGGTTAGCTAATCTACAGGTTTTGCTGTAAACCAGATAAAGGGAATGGAAAGTAAGAAATCCAAAAAGAGGGAAAAGCAGCTTTCAAGATGATATATTGGCAGAGAGCCATGTGAGAAGAACAAAATTTCTTCATGGCCTCCCATCCTTTTTATGTCAAAATTTAGAAACTTGGGCCTAGGAGACTCACAGTGCTTTCCCATGATGTATAATAAGGAGTTTTGGGTGTGTGTGTGTGTGTTTGTGTGTGCATGTGTGTAAATTCCATATAATAGTACATTACACAACTCATAGGACTGTTGTGGGGGTTGAATTAAACAAGACAAGTACAGGAAAGCATGTACTTTAGTCCTGGCATACAGAAGACATTTAGCATGCATTTCCGATATCTGAAAGAGAGAGATCATGGCAGTTTATAATAAGAAAGAGGACTTGAGACAAGTGATATGTTATTGATTTTACGTTCTTCCTTCAGGAGTCAGCCCTTCCAGGACAATAGCTGAAGGAAATGATGAGAAGAACTTGTGGCACATCGACTCTTGACTCAGATGCTAACATAGTATAATTTCATGTCTACTTGATGAAACTACTTTTCTACCAAGGAGAATAAAAGGTAAGTAGAGAGATAACACAAGTATAACAAGAGACAATCTGTTGTAGAGACCGTAACAAAATGCCCAGTTAAGTGGGTCACAATTCCTTGAATGGTAATCCATGCCCACAAATGCAGAGACTCCCTGGATTTAAGTTATTATTATTAAAAAAAAGTTTTATTGAGGTATAAATTATATGCAGTAAAATGAAGCAATTTTAAGTATACAATTCAACGAGCTTTAACAGGTAACTACAATGGTAACGGACATGATATAAAACATTTTCATCACCCCATAGGTTCCCCCATGCCTCTTTGAAGCCAATCCCTTCCCCCAAAACCTGGGCCCGGGGCTACATTAATCTGCTCTCTGTAACATTAGTTTTGCCTTTTCCAGAAAAAAGAAATCATAAAATATGTAGTCTTTGTGGCTAGCATCTTTTGTTTGGTACAGTGTTTCTTAACTTTTTTTGTGTTACTATACCCCTAAAGAAATTTTTCCTGATTCTCTCCTCCTCCTTATGAAATTTTGATGCCACAGGTATATCTGTATGTCTGTGTATACACACACACACACACACACACACACACTTAGATATAAAGTTAATTTTTTTTCACACCAGAAGAACACATTTTTGCCCCTTTGAGGATGCAGGTCACTATTGCCCCATTGAAAATACGTCATTTAGTAGAATATTTTTGAGCTTTATCAGTATTGCGTATATTAGGAATTGGTTCTTTTTAATTGTTGGGGAATATTCAATTGTATGAGAAATGAATAAGAGCAATTGCAAATGTGTTACAAAGGTCAGTGCATAATTAAATTACCGTTCTTCCTCACATTTGTGTCTCCCTGGTTTCAGTAAAGACACCTCGAGTAACATAATTGTTAAAGTCAGAAATCTGGAAGTGATCGAGACACTTCCCTTTCCCTCATTTCCCCATTTCCAATCCATCAAAGCCTGCCAATTTCATCTCTGGATTAATCTGGTCTCAAGGGATCAGGCCTCGCCACTGTAACCCAGTAAATTGTAGGCATATAAGGATGTTAATCTTTATTTTAAAAGAGATGGGAAGCCACTGGAAAGGATTTAAATAAGAAATGTGACATGACTTGCTTAGTGAAATTAAAAGATTATTAAATTTTTTATAACACGTAATGAACTAGAAAGGACTGAGAGTATTTGGGGAGGGGATCTTTCAGGAGTCTAGAGGAGAAATGACAGTGGCTCTTTCATGAATTTGCAAGGCATTTGAGGGCAGGGGATGGGAGAATTTGGAGACATGTTACATTTTCAGTGGGGCCCGGGTGGAAGAATTTAATCAAGGTCTCACTGCTAGATGATAACCTCACTGTAATGAGAAATTCAGATAAAGCTTCCGATTGCTTGCTGCTACCTGTCTGACTTAGCTGATATTTTGTCAAATTAATCAGTAGCCTAAATGAGTATTTGTTCTTGGGTCATTTGCCAATGAGTTAGAAGCAATTAAAGAATTAGAATCATGCCTAAAAGAAAAAAAAAATATGCTGTGTACTTCATGCATCCACTCATCCTTTCATCCATCTTACAATTGTTCTCAGGGGCTACTGTAGTACTAGCATTTATGTTTCAGCTCCAGATGGCCTGCAACCCCCCTGAAGTTTTATGCAAATTGTTTTGTCTATGTACATATATACTTGTCTTTGGGGGCATCTCAAAGATTAAAATTAAATTTTTATTCCTATTAAAGATTAAAAATCAGTGGTTTATGGTGTTTTAGGTCTAGTGCATACAAACATGCATATGACATAATCTTCATTCTTGAAGCATACAAAGTTTATGTCATGTAAACAGATACATTACAAAGCCACCTTGTCCGTGCTATAAAGGAGATATGAAGAAAGCTCTGGGAGTTTGTCAGTTACCCTGGTGCTTTGTCTCTTCCAGGTGACTTGCAAAGTATGGCTGGCCACAACATCTCCAGGAATTCCTCTTGCAATCCGACAATGACACCCCACTTAACCAGGCTCTACTTCGTAGTGCTCATTGGAGGGCTGGTGGGTGTCATCTCCATTCTGTTCCTGCTGGTGAAAATGAACACCCGCTCTGTGACCACCACCGCGGTCGTTAACTTGGTGGTGGTCCACAGTGTTTTTCTGCTGACGGTGCCTTTCCGCTTGATCTACCTCATCAAGGAGACTTGGACGTTTGGGCTGCCCTTCTGCAAATTCGTGAGTTCCATGCTGCACATCCACATGTACCTCACCTTCCTTTTCTATGTGGTGATCCTGGTCACCAGGTACCTCATCTTCTTCAAGTGCAAGGACAAAGTGGAATTCTACAGAAAGCTGCATGCTGTGGCTGCCAGCACCGGCATGTGGGTGCTGGTGATTGTCATTGTGGTGCCTCTGGTTGCTTCCCAGTATGGAACTCAGGAAGAGTACAACGAGCAGCACTGTTTTAAATTCCACAAAGAACTTTCTCACGTGTACGTGCAAGTCATCAACTATATGATAGTCGCGATTGTCATAGCCATTGCGGTGATTCTCCTGGTCTTCCAGGTCTTCATCATTGTGTCGATGGTGCGGAAGCTAGGCCACTCCTTACTATCTCACCAAGAGTTCTGGGCTCAACTGAAAAACCTATTTTTTATAGGGATCATCCTTTTTTGTTTCCTCCCCTACCAGTTCTTTAGGATCTATTATTTACAAGTTTTGGAACGTGCCAATGACTGTAAAAGCAATGTTGCATTTTATAATGAAATCCTCTTGAGTGTAACAGCAATCAGCTGTTGTGACTTGCTCCTGTTTGTTTTGGGGGGAAGCCGTTGGTTTAAGCAAAAGATAATTGACCTATGGAATTGCATTTTGTGCCGTTAGCCACAAACTGCAATATTCATAATCACTTCCTTTATATTGGGAGTAAAAAAGGGCGCAAGGAATGTAAGAATGGTATTGCTTTACATGATCAAAACCGTGCCTTGATCTAGCCAAGCAGAGGACTATAAAACATCAGAGCACTCATCCTAGTCCTTGTTTGATTCCTATGGTCTCTGAGTGATGCCCATACAAACACCAGCAATGTTGAATCCACATGGAGTTGCAATACTGCACTATTTTCCAATACAGAATGCCTGCTTGGCACATCCAGGCAACATGGGTCTAAAGAGTTTTAGAGTTTCATTACCTCATTCTAATTTCCTACATGGGGAATGTGGCCTTTTTTTAGGCTTTGGGCCCGATACAACTCTTTTCACTCTACTTCACCTTAGGAAGGTTGATCCTGGCCACAGTTTAGCTCCAAAGACACAAACTCTACTTGGCTAACGAGATAAGATGTCTCATTCATCTCACACCCTGACAAAAACAAATAAGATAAGAGAATGGTAAGAAACTTTTCTAGATTATCATAACTCTGAAGGGAAGTCAATTATCTAAGAATCAAGCAAAAAGTACTCATGGCCTTCTGCTAAAACAAGATTTTCCAGATTTGTCCTTTGCCAGGTCAAGTTTAAGGACGTGGGAATCAACTTCCTCAATATCACTAATTGCACTGTTACCCCAAAAATCATTCCAAAGTTTACCGAACACATCTAAGTAATGATAAAATTACAACTTAGAGAATATTCTTGCCCAATATACTGCCAGGCATTAAAATAGGTCCCAAGGGAAGTGATTAAAATTTTTTTCCTTTTCTGATTTTTGAGAGAATTTCTAAATGTCCCAGGCCACAGTTGATTTAGATTTTCTTTGAGAAAAGAAAGTTATACTGAAATCTTTAGAGTTCCCTTCCTCCCCTAAAGTTATGTGTTTTTAAATAAATGAAAACTAAAAAAAAAGGACTTTGGGGAAATATATTAAAAATTCCATTAGTTTAGACTCCGTGAGATTAGGCTGTATGAAGAAGGTTTCCTGAATATTTAAGGAATAGACGAATAAACATACTTGAAAGCAATAAAATTATAAATCTTTAAAACATTAAATAATTAGGATTTCTTATCAAATTTGGAGTAAATTTTTGCAAAATTTGATTCATAACTTGTGACATGTGCATGTTAAATTGATTTTACTTCAAGAACCTTTATTGCTGGCTAGGTTGATACACAGGTTTGTGAGTTTTTGCTTTTTGGGCTTTTTTCCTCCTCCCCATTCTTCTTTTGCTCTCAATGTTTCGTACTCTCAAAACTTTCCCAGGAACTGATCCAATTTCGTATTTAATGCTTCAGAAAACCTGAAGGAATTAATGATATGAACAGAAGAACTGAATGAATTAAGGGAACTTTTTCTTTTTCATCAAGGTATATCTTCCAGATTTAAAGGTCTTTCTTAATTTGTTATCCCTGAACGGATCCACAATTCATCAGATGAGTAAGAAACACCCCTGTGCGTTTCTAAGAGTAAGAGAAATTAATTCTGAGGAAGAAAAAGTAGCAACATAGTTCAAATATGACT